CACCTCAAAGAAATTTCAATGGATCACCCCAAGCTTATAGTGCATCTCCGATTAACAACTCATAAATCCCTCTAAAAAAATGTTGTCTAGTGTACATCAAATTTAATTCTTACTCGAAGAATATTTTATGTGATGTTATACCTATGCAAGTAAGAAGTGTGATTCTAGGTCAACCCTGGTTATTTGATAAAGAAGTCATACCGACAGCAAAGGCCAACACCTGTGTCTTCACTTATGAGGGAAAGTAAATTGCATTATATCCATCTCCACCTGAAAAAGGACATACTACCTACCACTAAAGCAAAAAATCAAGAAGAACAATAAAATATCTTAAAGTTAATATCACAAGAACTAGAAAGAGAATTTGTTAATGGATCTTCATATAGGTTGTAGTAGTCCAAGGACGTAAAACTAAAGATGTTAAATTAGCTATTCCGCCTACAATTGAATCTATATTAATAGAATTTAAGGAAGTATTTAAAGAGGATTAGCCAAATAGCTTACCACTTATGTGTGACATTCAACATGCGATAGATTTAATCCCAAAGGCCACTCTATCAAACTTGCCGCATTATAGAATAAACACCTGAGTATCGAGAGTTAGCCAAATAAGTTCAGGATCAATTGAACAAATATTTTATTACAAAAAAATATTAGTCCGGGTGATGTTTTGAGGTTCTCACTCCAAAGAAGGATGGCACTTACAAAAAGTGTATTGATAATCATTTCATCAATAAAATAATAATTTAGTACATATTTACAAATCCCAACATTAGAAGATCTATTAGATCACATAAATGTGTAATAATCTTTCATCAAATTGATCAAAAAATTGGATACATTGAAGTTGGGATAAGTCCAATGGGTGAGTGGAAAACAACATTTAAAACTAGGAATGGCCTTGTTATGAATTTTTGTTTATCAAATGCACTAAACACCTCTATGAGAATTATAACTCAAATCTTACTACCATTCCTAGGGAAATATATAGTGTTATATTTTGGTGACATGCTAATTTTTAGTAAGACTCTAGAGGATCATCTTGAGCATCTTATGTAAGTTTGTCTTGCACTTATAGAACACATTTTATTTGTTAATCTTTAAAAATGTGCATTTCTTGCTAACCATGTAAATTTTTTAGGGTTTATAATCTCTAAAGATGGAGTATGAGTTGAGCATGAAAAAATGAAAGCTATTGAAAAAATAGCCAATCCACAAGCAGTGCTTGATGTTAGAAGTTCACATGAGTTAGTAACATTGTATAAATAATTTATTAAGGAATTTAGTACTATTATTGCACCGATTATAGATTGTATTAAAAAAGAAGATTTTTAAGTGGACACTTACAACTGCAAAGGCTTTTTAGAAAAAAATTAAAGGATGTATAACTCAAATACAAGGATTGAGCTTGCTAAATTTCTCTATTCCCCAGGAAATATCTTGTGATGCTTCTGGTGTAGATATAGGTAAAGTCTTAAGCTACGGGCGTAAACCAGTGGTCTTTTTTAATGAGAAATTGAATAAAATTAGAAAAAAAAATATTCAACGTATGATAAAAAAATTTTGCGCTCTAGGCAAGACTCTAAGGCACCAAAGACATTATTTATTACCACAAGAATTTTTCTTTGACTCAAATCATGAAGCCCTTAAGTTTCTCATCTCACAAAGATAATTAAGCCATCAACACGCTAAAAGGGTAGAATTCCTTCAAAGCTTTATGTTTATCCTCAAGCAAAAAACTGAAGTAGAGACTAAAGTAGATGATTCTCTTAGTCATCGAGCATTTTTAGCCATATTTTTTGGATTTGATACATCATTTTAGTTATATAATGAATATCCATATTTTGGTATTACTTATAATAAGCTTATTAAGAATCCTACCAAAGTTATAGATTATTATATTCTTAAAGATAATATTATTTAGAGGAGGGGGCATATGTATCCCAGACCTCGTTTACAGACTTTCTAATTTGGGAATGACATTATGGAGGTTTAGTAGGCCACGTTGATAAAGACAAAACCATTAGGTCCATAAAAAATATGGTTTATTGACAAAGCTTAAAACACATCGAATCAAGGATTGTTGCTAGTTGTAGGCTTATCGAAGGTACGTACCCAAAATACTAGCTTATACATGCCTTTGCCCGTGTCTAACCGCCCTACGAAATACATTAGTATGCATTTTATTCCCAAAACAACTAAGAAGCATAATTTAATTTTTGTGCTAGTAGATAGTCTTATTAAAATATATCACTTTGTTCATTGTTCCAATATATCACATGCCTCTCATAAGCACATTTACTGTTTTGATGAAATTGTTAAATTACATGATATTTGAAAAAGTATTATTTTTATTGTTATGTTCGTTTCGAAAACCTCTATAGCATCTAATAGAAATAAAAACAAAATTTTATTCTTCTTATCATCCACTGATTGATAACAAATTTGAAGCGGTCAACCAGAGCTTGAAAAATTTGCTTCGATGCCTAATAGGTGCTGAGATTTCAATTTGTTGAGAGCTGAATATGCACAGAATAATTCAGTAAATAGATCAATAAGAATAAGTCCATTTAAAGCATGTCATGACAATAAGCTTTATAGTTTAATAGATTCACTATATTTTCTTACGCATGCACGTACTTCTAACTTTGCCCATGAATTTGTGCAGCAAGTCAATGTGACATATAAACGTATTAAAGATCAAATAAACTAAATCAATCAAATAAATAAGATGCTAGCCGAAGATCACAAAAAATATCAAGCATTTTTTTTCTTTTTTTAAGATTATATCATGATTCATGCGGCCTAAGAGATTTTCATCTATGATCATTCAAAAGTTAAATGTTAAAGGTGCTGGTCCCTTCAACATTTTGAAAAAAATTGAACCAAAAGCATATGTAGTAAATTTATATGATGTCTATGGCATCAGTAATTCTTTCAATATATCAGACTTAGTAGCGTTCAACGAACCAGTTATGATACGTAGTGGGTCATTTAATCATTTATCCTCCTTTCTTGAGCGTTAGCCTATCATTGAGTACTACAACCCAACATAATGAGAAGAGTGATCAAATTAACCGGATCCTAGATGACCAAACAATAGTTACTAAAAGTCATAGTTCATAGAGGTATCTTGTAAAGTGCAAAGACCAACCAAACATAGAGAAGAAATGGCAAAAAGGAGCTTCAAAGAATCAATCCAAGGTAGTTAAGGAATATCATAATGGACCAAACGCATACTCATCATAGCTTAGTCCTCCACGTATTGGGGGAGTTGGTGTGAACAATTTCAATGACTACTACTATACATATTCCTACATTGATGTTGAAGATAATGTAACCAAATCATCTCTATTCTCACATTGCAAGTCAAATTCTTGATCTTCGTAGCTTTGAATGGTGAAGACTAAAATTTGTGTCTTTAGGTTAATATGTAAGTCCCTTGTATCATGATTTAAAATTATGCAATATGGGTGTGTTTTGTACAAAATTAAATGTAATGAGACTTACGCCTCATTTTAAGGCGGGGCATACTCACCTAGGCTGAGGGAAGTACCTTACCTTAATTTTTTAAGGTTATCCGTATTTTTTTAACATAAGCTAAAAATAGAATCAATATACCTCATCAATCAACCCTCACATCTCACACACTAAATTGAAAAAAATAAAAAAAAAATCTATAAAAATTTACATAGTTGAAGTTTTAACTATCAAAATAGCCAAAATTTAAAAATTTAATTAATATTTTTATTAAGTATTATTGATTAGAAAAGAGAAAAATGATTGAGATTAAAAGAAGAGAAATATAGAATAAAGATGTCACTATGAATGAAATGGAAGAAAAAGTAATTCATTATGTCAATAATTCTATTAATTAAAAACTCATTGGTGATAAGAATAATAGAAACTTTTGGATTTAAAAATTCCAATATTAATGACTTCTTCTTTCATAGTTGAATTGTGATCAACATAAGTAGGAGAGAAATAAATGTGTTGAACATATTTTGTTTTTCATGTTATTATATTTTAATATCGTAATTTAATATCTTAGCTTATTTTAATGGTTTAACATTTATATAATTCATCTTATTTCAAGATTTTGATATTAGGATGCTAATGTGTTATTTCATATTTTGTGTAATTTGTACTTTTTATTTATTAGAATGTTGACATATTGCTTAGGATATATTCATATGTTAGAATGTTAATATGTTATTTCTTACATCAAACTTTGAAGTTTATGCAATATTGATAACTTTATGCAATTTTTTTTTAATTTGAGCATACATCATGAAATCTCTTGAGACTTGTGCCAAGCATCACGGATGAAAAATGTCTCAATACCCAATTGCGTAATTTTAATTTTTTTATTATATCTCATTAAGCATAAAGAAATAGTAATGAAACAAATGTCTGAGATACCCCACTTTACGGTGGTGCTTACATTTGGTGAAATTCCAAGGATAGAATATTGTTATTATAACAAAGGACTAGTTGTAACAACAATCTTGCAATTCCCTTTTAAAATTTTCTCCATTCTGGTATCTCTGTGAATAGTTTAGGCCAAGTAAAAACTACTAGCAATAAGATTTCTTTTGGCAAAACACATTTTTCATTGTGATCTCTTCAATAAAAACTTGTGGATTCTTTCTCAAATCTCGCTAAAAGTTAATATCATTTGTTATATTCATTCAATCTTCTGCAATTATTTTAGATTTAAAAAATTTCATAGAATTTTCCTGTTATGATCAATACTTGACCCTTGTCATCCATTCTTATAGTTTCCTCATGACCATTTCTTCGTTAAGTTTAATTTACTAAAAAAAAAAACACAAAAATCACAAAAATGATCAAATGACATAATAACTATCCCTCTCTCCACCTCTTCCTCTAGCGCATTCTGTCTCTCTCTGCCTCTAAACACATGCATACATACATACAAAAATATATACATATACATATTACAATTTAATGATTCTTTTGCTCGTTATGTTACGAACCTGGCAAAGAATATCGAAGTTGCTCTGCCCTGCGCCTTCAGACAACAGCTTAACCCGAAACTTCTGCACTCCACACTTCACGTCATGCTGCATATCTGCTTTCGGCTCTGCCCTCACCACCTTTCCCAAACCTCCCACCTGCTCCCTCCCAGATGAAGCGAACCCCACGGACCTCCCATAATCATCAAAACCAGACCAAGAAGAAGAAGACGAAGACCAAATAGGCCCCTTTCTCTGTGAATCATAGGGCTCAACGCGACCCCCGTCATAGGCATAGACGCCCTCTCCAAACTCATTGTAGCCAAAATCATTCTCCAGTTTCTTACCATAGAAGCAATCAACAACATGGTCCCCAGCTCCTTGATAGGGATTCTCGATCAAAGGGTAAGAAGATACAAAGGAGGGATTTTGATTGGAATTGGGGATCAAATGCGCCACGTAATTGAACGAGGGATGCCGAGGATCGTAAGGAAGATGCGGGAGAAGGTGAGGATAAGGCGCTGGCTGAGGATTCGGTGCGGTTTCTAGTAGTTGGGGATAGGAGGCGGAGATGTCCGGTGGAGGAAAATGGGGGTGAGGAGGGGCGGATGCGGAGCTCGGTTGGGATTGATGTGAGTGGGGAGATTCATTAGGGCTAGGGTAGGAGTGAGGATACATGAAGGAATATGGCGAGTTGACGGTGAAATCGTTCCCCCGTTGCATGTCTGAGAGAGAACTTCGGTTGCCGTCTATGAGTAAAGTTCTATTGAAGGGGAGTTCGAGGAAGAGCCGCTGGACTCCCGCGGAACCGCAAGAGTAATTCGGTAATGCATGTAGTGGCTAGACTAAAAAATATTACATGGTGAGTCCGGGCTTGAGTCCCTCGGACTTTTTTTATGGGCCCACTTAAAGATGATAAAAATACATCAATAACACTCCGGTATTATTTGCGTGGTCTTTTAGGCAGTGATTTTAGTATTGTTCAAGGGTGTTATTGTGGTGTTATTGGAGTTATTTTGCGAGAGTTATTCCGGTGTTATTTTGTGTAGTCGTCTAGACGGTGTTATTGGCGATGATCACCAGTGTTATTGCCGTGTTATTGTGATGTTATTTGAGTTGTTTGGTGGGATTATTAAAGTGAAACCGCAGAACCGGTCGTAGTGTGGTGTTATTCGAGTTTTTTTGCAATAAAACCACAATATACGCTCATTCGTCAATTTTTAGATGGGTCCAGTCAGATACACATGATAAAATTTTATTTGAGTTCGAACGCAGAGCTGCGTCTGGACTTCTTATGTAATATTTTTTCTAATAAATGGCTCCTGAAATGGTAAAAATATTGCATTCCAGACATCTGCACGTTTGGACAACCATTTACTAAACATCATATCACTTGCAGATGAGATATATGGTGATGTGGTGGATGGCGGTTGGGCGTCCTAATGTGTTGTCCAAACACAAAATTTTCTCCGTAAAATGTATTCTATAAGCTAAGCTAAGGTTAATTTTGGGGCAGCTGTGGTAGGAAGTTATAGCAGGAAGTTGCTACTGAGAAATTGGTTGTCTATTAGTTTTATACATTTTTGAAACAGCTGTGTTGCAACTATTTCAAAATAAATAACGTTTATGCTCAAATGTTATAGTGTTGTTTATAAAAGAACTATTTATACCAGTATATTCTATATTTGAAAGCAAATGTCCAGTTTAAATGTTACAAAATAAAATCAGGCACATCAAAATATGGAGTAATGCAACAATCAAAATTTAAAAAATGATTATTAAAATAACAATTAATAATATGATAATACTGTTATTAAAATGTAATTGGTTTACGTCACGAGATAAATCATCCTCCAATGAAACTCGCCACATTCGATCGCTATTGACGGTTGATTTATCCAGTCCATCTGCTCACCTAAAAAAGTCACAGCTTTCTATTCTTCTCCTTGGACACTTGAAAACTGTCTAACATAGTTATGTGGTTGACACAAAGTAAGCAAAGAACATTGTATACCACATCAGCAGTACAATGCTCTGTAGGTAGCTAAAGTTCTCAAGCTAATCTTTTCTGAATGTTTAAAACAACAAAGCACAAATCATAAAATTCAATATTAGCGAAAAAAAAATATTAGAAGTATCAATGCAAGTTTTATTAAACTGTGAGATCTCAGAAAACATAGTGTAAACCGATGAATCTGTCACTACATGAACTCGGCAGACCTTATAAAAAAATGTATTCTTGGTTGTCTTTAAACCACGTAATATCAAGCTCGTATGTGTCATATATACATATAACAAAAAAATATATCATCCAAAAAAGCCTTTAAAGCCATAACATGAAAAAAGGAGAGGAACTTTGTTGCCTTAGTTGGGATTTCACATGTGACAAGAACCAATAGAGACATATAAGCTATTTAGAAGGACCCTTAAGGCCGAATATCTCATCATAGACCTCCCAAAACCAAAAATAAAACATGTAATAAAAAATTATATTGCATATTATATCTACGGTTGCCTCATTGTCCATCTAAGCGAGGAAGAATATAAATAAAGAAGCAAGAAATAAAATTGTGATTCAAAACATAGATGATTGAGTAAAATATCGATACAATAAACAATATAAGTTATTGCCACACAATACAAATAAAGTTGCAACAAAGAAAAAAATACAACTGGTTCATTCATCAATCAACGTTGACATCTGTAATCTGCTCTCACAACCATCCCACAACCACCACCACCACCACACAACCACCAACACACCACCACCGCACCATCACCACCACTACACCACCATCACCACACCACCATCAACACAGCATCACCACCACCAACACACAACCACCAACACAACACCACCAACACAATCACCAACACAACACCACCGACACACAACCACCATTACCACACCACCGCTACCATCACCATCACAAGCATCACATCATCACAACGACCACCATCATACACAACCATCATCGTAAAGAGCAAAGGGCCACATGAACCTAACCGCAAAATAACTTCCAAATTACACATAAAAAGGACATGCAATCTCGTCTTTTCCTCTCCCTACATTCAATTTATTCCATAGAGTGAAGTCGTAACTGCAAAACAACATGTCAACAATTGCATTGAACCAAAAATAACAAGGAGCAAAGACACAAAACCACAAAAACTCGTATTCTTCCAAGTCTCTCAAAAAAATGTAAATGAAATATGATATTTTTCCCATCAATTTCTCTCTCATTTTCTTCATAGAGTCATAAAACCAAGCCACAAAAAGCAATCACGGAGCTAAGCCATAAAGCACAAAAAACAAGCCACAAACAACAATCACAGAGCTAAGTCGTTCCTTAGAAAAACCAAGATTGTAATTGAAAGAGTCGTAAAAACCATTTTACTGCAGAGAAAGACAAAAAACGCAAGGATAAATCGTCAACATCAACCACAAACCTCATAGGAGGAAGCAACATAAGGGGAAAGAGAGGGGTAGGAAGATACCAGAGAACAGCAGAGAAGAGGGCCTCAGAACTGCCAGGGTAGAAGGGAGTTTGAGGAGGAGAAAGGAGAGTAGTGCTCTGCGAAAATGTAACACTAGGTCAGACGCGGATGCTGGAACCGAGTGGTCGAGCCCGCGACTGCATTTTTATTAAATTTTTCAATATGTCACCGCACCGCACGAAACAAACATGTGATTTAGCGGTTTCCCACCGCATCACAACAATTATGCTATGCCAAATGCAATTTATGTTCAAGTCAGTCCCGACTCGACTTATTAGTTTGTAAGGCAGCTAGTTTATAAGTTAATTAATAAAAAAATATTTAAAATATATTACTATTTAAAAATTTTGTTTAAATTATTAAAAATGTTTAAAAAGTTATATTTTCCCTTTAATATACAGTGATATCTTATTAGTTATCTCTTAAATGTTTATTCTATTGATCATTTAATTATAAAATTAGCTTTAATTAATAAATTTCTTTCTCTTTCATGCTGAACAAGCAGACTCATGGACCGGCTCAAACTTTTAGAATTAAGCTAATCTCGAGCTCAAACTTGATTAATTTAATCAAGCTTAAGCTCAAACAAAGGTGGCTCGAGCTCGATTTGACTCATTTAGACCCCTAAAACTTTATTTCCTTTTGAAACATAAGTGATTTGTTTCCGTTCATTTTTCTCTTTTTTTATTT